TCGGCACAGGCACGAGCACCAGCTCCTCTCCCGTCGGGAGCCTTGCGCGGCAGAGCCCACGAGCTGGATGAAACAGCCGCCCCGGATGAGGCACGGAGTCTGCTCCTTGCAGGATTCATTACAGGGGAGGGGACAGAGGGGGAAAAAAAAAAGAAAGAAAGAAAGAAAGCAAGCACGCTCGGATTTTAGGAAGGCGAGTCAATGTAGCCTCAGACAAAACGCAGCATGCGCTTTGCCTGCGGTAAGGAGACGCCAGAGAAAAAGGAGACCAGCGATGGAAAACTTCCTTTCTCCTTAGAAGAGGCGGCATTTCTGAAGAAAAACAAGTCTAAGCTGGTTATAAAGGAAAGTTCCTTTCCCAGAAGGAGCACTGTGCTAAACGAACCGGATCTCACTGAACTGTCACAGCAGTCTGTTGACGCCGGGAGAGCTGCGGCCACCAGAAAGCGTTCATCTTTCCGCCCCCGCTGCGAGGCCGGGGGTCGCGGCGGCAGGGGCTGGAGGGGGTGCGGGGAAGACATATGAAATGTTGGTATCGTTTAAACGTGACCAAGGCTTCAGTTTCCTACACACACACAGGCGTGCAACGAGTAGAGCCTGAAACAGGGCAAAGCATGGGAATCCCGTTAGGCTCAGGGACAACGTACCGAGGTCTCGTCCCTCCCGACGCAGCGTCCGGAGCGCTGTTTACTCTGGCTCTGGGACTAGCTTAATTGGAGCGTTACGAAATAGGTGCCAAGAGCTGTAACGGTAGCACAGGGCAGGACTACGAGAACAAAGGCAGCATCCCTGCCTGGCAGACGCTCTCCCTTCCCGACCCTTCTCCGGGGGTTTCGGACACTGCAAGCGGACCCGGGCGAGTCGGAGCTGGCGGGTGAGGCGGCGAGACTGGGCACAGGGCTCTGCTGTGCATCACGTACTGCTCACGTTAGCTCCGAATTAGGGCATTTCAACATATAATCTAGTCTAACGTTACAGTGATCGCATTAAAATTATAAATAGAATAGTAATTTTAATATCTTACTTCGCGTGAGGGGAAAGGACAATTAATCAGTAAATTAACATTCTGTTAAGTGGGTTCGGTGAAACATATCTGAGCAATAAAAACTAGTCAACTCCCCACATTCTGATTTTGGCTTTTTCGCATCAACAGTCATGTTGTTCTTAATTTTCCTTCACCGGCATGGGAAAGGAAATGCCTTTTAACCACTGCAACGGAGCGCATCTAACTGTACTGCAACAGCGACCAGAACCTGAATGTTTAAGCATCATGTACTCAGCCCGTGCCAGCTATGAGAAACGGGTCTGCACTGATGTTTTGTTCGCTGCTGTTGAAATGAGAATTTCTTCTCAGTGGTCTATTTAGAATCCACCAACTGGCCAAACCCACCAGCAGCCTCTAATCTCTGCACCAGAAGGAGTCAAACCTTAGGAGCTCAGGAAAGAGCCCAGAGCAGACCCTGAGTGTTGGGGGGCAGAGTTTTACCCTGCCCCTAAATCCAGCCCAAAATGAGCAATGCAGCGTGCAAGCCTACAAACACAACAGGTACTTTGAGCTGAGCTTTAATTGCTTCAGCAAGAACACTCATGTTGCCCAATCTGGCCTTTGGGGGCAGGGGGGAAATCAAACCAAAAAAGCCCCACATACAATTTGGGCTTTTCAAGTTTCAAGAGACTCATACCATCCCGAGGCATCAAAGTTTCTTCCAACTCTCCTTCTGTTCTAACTTGTCTTCATGGGCTTAGTTTTCAGAATGGGGCGGGGAGGGGGGAAATACCCACACTGGAAAGCTGGATATACTTAATAAGATTTTATCCAAGCAGCTCAGTCAAACTAATGAAGGAAAACCATTAAAAATCCAAAACTTTTGAGTTAATA